AAGATTGGAAGAGAGCAGACAGAACGACTACAGATTGAAGCAGATATCGGACTGAACTGCAGAGAGCACACAGGTATCCACATGTTCACTCAGTAAAACAAAAGCAATAAACTCAACTCTGTTCTGCTACCTCTCTAATGCTCTACAAAAATGTCCAACAAAGTTCAGAACTTACAGAAAAGACTAAAAATTGTACAGTGAAAACCTGCTTACAATATGAAGTAAAGAATAGTAAATTATGAATTAATTTACTGTAAACTACTATCAAATATTTTTTTTTTTTTACCATACTTAGTGTCACAATTGTATTTTCTTACATATCAAATACAATTATAATTTATATGAATTTAGTTTTTCCATTTTTATCATCAGTAAATGTTACGGTGGTTTGCATTACATTTTGTGTTATTTATTTAATGTTTATTGCATTAGTATGTGATACCCTGATGATGTTTTGCACTATGTGCATTATGATAGTATTACAGTATTTTATGGTAAATTTCTGGCAACCACAACTACCTATTTTTTACAGTGAACCAATATATTTCCATCCTAAAATTCCCCCATTCGGTTTTATCCATATGACAAAGTATTAGTTCAGCCAAAAATTCTGCCTTTATTTGCTTACTCTAATACCATTCCAAACCTGTATGACTTTGAATAGGAACTTTGAATCATGTACCAGGATATTCTTCAGAAATCGCCTATAATGTTGAGTACATGAGAATGAGTAAATAAATGTCAGAAGTTGTGTTTTTGGCTTAACTAATACTTTAATTAAAAAAAAGCAACAGAACTTTTAACGTGCAGAAATACTGTAGTATCACAGATCAGCCTGTTCAGAGAACTTTTCAATATTTGCTTTTAAAATGACCTTTTACCTCATAAAATTCGACTCTACCCAAAAATCTTGCAGAGGACTGAAATCAATTTCGACAGCTGCATTTATTAATCTAAAAATAACAATGCGCCTTTACAAAAGACTTTGTAAGACCTTGCTGGAGAAAAGATGAGAAATCATATATTGGAACCAAATTTATACAAACAGAGACAAATCTCATGAACTCAGTTCCAGCATATTAATACTTAAAATCACGACAGCAGGACAAACACAGCAAAAATCAGAAAATCCCATGCCTGCCGTGCTTCAAATATGTATGAATGTCCGCATTCGGTTGAAACAAGAGGCCACTGGCAGAGTTTATGACGTGTTGCAGTTTGAGCATGTGTGTGGTGAGGAGAAATCTCTAATGTGACTCTACCACAGCAGCTCTCCCAGAGGAGCTCAGCCGCCCAGAGTGTGTCCTGCCTGTCAAACACACCATTAATTATTCAGCGAGAGAGAGAGAGAGAGAGAGAGAGAGAGAGAGAGAGAGAGAGAGAGAGAGAGAGAGAGAGAGAGAGAGAGAGAGAGAGAGAGAGAGAGAGAGAGAGAGAGAGAGAGAGAGAGAGAGAGAGAGAGAGAGAGAGAGAGAGAGAGAGAGAGAGAGAGAGAGATTGTGGGCTACACTGATCAGCAACACAGAACAAATGAGCGAGAGAGTGAGAGATGGAAACAGAGATAATCTTAAGTAATGATGTTGGGATGTGTGGCTTATGTAATGGCAGAACTCCATGGTGCTGCTCGCCCGTGCAAAACTTGCCAACACTATGTGGGTTGAATGGGTGGTTGCCAGAGTGTTGCTTTGCGGTTGCTTACAGGCACAAGTCAAAGGGGTCCACATCAACGCCTCTTTTTTGGGTAGAGTTGCACCAGCCGTTTGTCAAGCCTTAATAAAATTAGGATGAGAAGTTTTCACTAAGGGCCAAATTATTTCCAAAGTACTGAACAAATGATGCAAAGCAAGAAGGTTGTAAGCTCTGTATAATGCATATTCGCATATGTCTATCTTTATTGATTCAGTAAGCAACCTTCAAATTTGTAAACCAATGTAGTGTGCATTTCAGTGTGCAATTAAAATGTAAACAGAACTATTAAATAGATATTGTAAACTAATAAAGACGGAGAATGGGAGAGTTGTGCGCAGTCAAAATAAAAGTCCAGTTTACAACAAATCAGCCAAATAGAAAAACTTCTCGGTCAATAATTGAAGATACCAAATATGGGCCGATATATTGGTCGACCACTAACATGCATACATAAACATAACCAGACATAAAACACTCAAGTGGTAAAGATAGTAAGCCAACTCACAAACTACGTGTATGTGCGAGACAAAATACACTGAGAAATACTCAGACACTACGGGTGTGTGTGTAAGATGTAGAGATTTTGAACAAAAAGGTCATTTGTTGAGTTTGGACTATCTGTGAGAGGCAGCTGGGGTGGCACACATGAGGATGAGTCATGACTGTGTCCGAGCAGCTCTCTCTCTCCAAGCTGCCATGCTTGAGTTTCTGCATGTGCTGCCATCAACGGTCTTCATTTCCCTCACTTTACTGCATGAACGCACACCGTACACACACAATCGCCTCTGCCCTCCTCCACTAAGACCAGAAATGAGACGGAGGAAGAGAAAGATAAACAAGATCTATTATCTCTCATCAAGTTCAACCTAATTTCGGACAAAGTGTATCCATACGTGTGTGTTCCTCAGCGCACACACAGACAGACACACACACACAGGCTACACACAGCGTGACACACTAAAGCACTCAGCACATGGGAGCACAGTCCTGAGCCTATGATTGGCCTAGTATTTTTTACAGTGCCCAATCACTGATCACGTGTTAAAAACAAACAGTAATCCATTACAATAAAATCTATTCAAATATGTAGCGAGATTCTCACATAGAGAAAGGAACTGGATGAATGCTAAACCAAAAGATTAGATTATTCATAAATCAATATGTCTGGCATCCATAACAAAACAGCTTCTCATTACATAACGCTTTATTTAAAAACAAAAGAATAAAACCAATGAAATATGCATAACTATATTCTGGGGCATAAAGAGAACAGCAAAATTTCTAGCAGTTAACACTGACACCACTGCACAATATACTACTGTCATACTACTATCAGCCCTACAAAGTCTGTCGAGTCATGTTGGGCTCACAGGTCAGGTAACAGGACACTATTTTTGCCTCATTTGCTGACTTTAAAAGATTAATATATACAAATTTGATCAATCCATTTATTAATTTGACTATCACAGCACAGACATTCACAGATGCGTTCGCTCTTTCTGTAGCAGCTTGCTGTGTGTGCTTTAGGAAATCCAAAGCCTACAGTCTTAATTCCACTTGGTGGAAACCTCAAAAGCAGGAGGTGTGTGTGGAAGAAACATGCAGCCTCTCATGCCAGTTTAATTACGTGCTTCAGATCATGAGAGATTAGACCCAGATTGAGAGGAATAACTTATGGGATGCAGCTAAAAGTGGGCAATACAAACAACGGCCTTCCACGGGACAAACAAATGCATTATGGAGAACGGGACAAAAAAAGAAAAGAAAAGAGTGACGAGCACGTATGTTTTTTGCACTGCGCAGATTAGTCAATTTTGTTATTTGGATAAAAGGTCGATTTTTTTATTACTTGGCAACCAAACAATTCATTAAGGAATTCAAACTTTTTTCTTTTTTTCAAGAATGATGAAATTGGACTCTTGATGAAAACATCTATTTTATACTTTCATGTTGTTGCATAATTCATACTTTGTGTGAACAAAAAAAAAGAGAAAAATATTGCTATATATTTTATCTATATAAAAAATATATAGAGAGAATGCATTTGCAAAAAAAAAAGGTTATTTTAAGCTAATCACAGCTAATTTCAGAAAAATAGAAAATGTATTCCCCATATAAACTAAAAATAACTTGAAAGATTTATATTCACTGTAAAAAAAGAAAAGAAGCTGTTTATGAAACTTAAAAATCCTTATAGAAAAATGCATATTCCATGACCTTTCCATTTTTGGATATTTACTCATAAATTTGGATATATACAAACAAATCTTAAATTTAATATTAAACCTTTTATAATGATTCACTGTAGAAATTGTTATTTGAGTGGGAATTTTCTTTAAGAAATTTTAAAACGCGTCCAGAATCAGAAAAAGTCATGGAAATTTATATTGTGAATGTTCTTATGAAAACTTCTCTTAATAATAATGTACAGCATTTGGATGATTGTCTAAATGATGTGCTTATGAGATATTTCTAAGCTGAGCAAAACTAGAAAAACTTTAATTCATTTATATTTAAATTCCAACCCTAACTTCCAAAAAAATATTTTTCTATGAGCCCGGAAACATGTAATCTTAAAACATGAAAGTATGCGTCTACTGCCCATTAAAATTGACTGGCGGTCTGACACACACATGACGCGTCAACACTTCACACTTTAAGTGGATCACGGCCCACTCTTTTCCTCAAGAACTTCCATTTCCTATAACAGGCAAGGCTTAGTTTCACTGTGGGTGACAGAGTTCATCAGGACTCCATCTTTTTTTTATTTTTCCTACTTCCTGTCTCTTTTGTAATTTTCAGCAAAAGGTCCCTGTGTCCAGTCTCTCTGTAAAGTGCAGGTTAAAGCTAGGCTCTTAAAAAAGCTCCTTATTAGACCTGACTACATCGCCAACCTCATTCACACAACATTAATGGAAACAGCATCCGCACAGCGTCAAGCACCCTGAGGAAAAGGTAAGAATAGTGTGCAGGCAAGTGATTTTCCTCAAGTGTCTGAACCATCGTATCTGTGGTTCTGGAAATGTAATTTCTGTGACCATTATTCATAAAGTAACCGAAACGGATAGCCATTATCTCTGAATAAAGCACAAAAACAGCAAGTTGGTCTCCAACATGTGTTTGAGTATCTCAAGTGAAGACAGCAGTAAGGAGACAGGCCAAGAAGAGAATGGACAGATAGTTGTCACAAAATGACCGGCGAGACCAGACATCACAGGCACTGTCAAATCAACTATAGAAATGGGAAGTCTAGAAACAGCTTGTGAAGACCAAAGCGACAGAAACAGACTGTAAATGACAGGAGGCCTTACCTCTCTCTGAAGAACCAGCTCTTTGGTGAACAGCATGGCTTCATCACTGTATGGTTCTGCCACCTGCATCCCACCTGGCATGTTTCGAGACCCTCGGGGACACTCAATACCTGCACACAAAAACACAGAGTGAGGGTGGGCTGTCTCTTTGCAGAGTGTTAGTAATGAATCAGTTAAAAATATTGATTTTAATTCATCATTTGTGCAACAAACTAAAATATTTCCATAACTACCCCAATAAGAAAATAAGGCCGATATATTAAATCAGATAAATAATGGATTATTTCCTTCAGCTGAGACACTTCAGATGCGCACTGTTCGCCAAGATGGTTTTGAATGGCTAGAAATATGATGGGAATCACTTCAAAAAAGGAAAATACAACGTGGAGCGCAAGTCTGTCATAAAGGCTACATAAAATTATAACGAGAACATCATTATAATTGTGTGCTGGGGACATGGCTTTTAATCAGGCTCTCAAATTATATAAAACTTGATTTAGATTTATCGACCAATATATAGGTTATCGGCTTTCAAATCTAAAGAATTATTGGTATCGGCCAAAATTTTCTTGGTGCACATTGGTTCCACGCATGCGCAGTAGACCGCCTTGGACAAAAACGACAAATTGTTGTCCATTTATCAAACTTCCATGTTTCTTATATAGTAATTATATATTACTATGGACCAATGTACTAATGCTCGGACACGCTCGGTCTCTCTCGCGCAGCGTCAACTCTATATAATTATAAAATTTCCATTTATTTGCCTTAACAAAACGGTCTCTGATATTTCCACTTCTGCCGACACAGACTTTCTTCTTTGCCTAAACTCTGTGGCCAATTTCCCTCAAGGAATTATTACACATCTGGCTGTCTTTGTGATCTTTTAACGACGGATTGTAGAGGTGTGGGTAGCGACGGACTTCACACACACAGCCTCTCTTCAAATTGGACGTCCATTTATTTTCCAGCGCTTTACCGGTTTTAACTTAGTGACAGCACGTACTTGTCCACACGGTCAAAAAAAATGGGAGGCACGCGGACGTCCGCAAGGAGCCTCTGCGCACACCCTCCGATGACGTTTTTTACGTCACTAGGACCCTAGCGGACCCTCGCATACTCGCGGACGCGGAAAGTATAACCCTAGCTTAATGTAGAACATCAACGTATAGCACCTCTCACTACCATGGTAAAATCGAACTATATGGTATTTTAGAATGGTTTTATGGTATTTAGCATAAACGCATTTAGTACAAATACAAATTTACAAAAACTGATATAGCTTAATAAAGATGACTAATTATATTTCATGTATAAAATACTTACACCTTTAATACATGTCTTCATTAAAATAATAAAATGTGATAATGAATATCCCACATTTCTGCCACAATAACATGATTCCAGTAAGTGTTACTACAGTAAAACCATGGTAAATGCAGGTGATTTGTGAACTGAAAAGCCTTTAACAGGATCTTTGCGGCACAATATTTCTCCTGTTTTCCGCATCAGTGTTGCTGAGAATGTCAGCACAAATTCATCAGCATTATCCTAGTTTAAATCACAGAGAAATAAGTGGTTTGTATCAGAGAACTGCACCAAACTCAAACGCTTACTGGATCCGACAGTGCTGTTTAGAGGTCACGTGATCGAGACCGGTCAGTAAACATTCGCACTTTTCGGCCAAGCTGATAAATGGCCTGTGACATGCAGTTCAAACGAGTAGCGCTGTTTTTCGTTTCACTCTTGCCACGTCTGTCATTTAATGCATCTCATACACAACACAAATGGAGAACTTATCAGATAGGCAAATTGGCAGTAGCACAAGTGAGAGTTCTAACAAAATTTAGTCGCAAAGGAAAAAAGGTTGCAAAACGCCCTGTAGTACAAAAGGCTTGTTATCTTATCATAATAGAAATCCTCCCACATTCCCCAAAATAACTAAAAACACGAATACAATAAGCAGTCATTCGGCATTATCCAGCTCTGAGAAAGGAAAGGGGAAAAAAAACACTGAAACAACTCAATTATCTGGTAATTGTCAGTAAATGGACCCAAAATTAGCATTTAAATTGCTCCAGGCGTCCGATCTACTCGAAGGCAGAACACGATTTCTGACAATAACAGGAGTGTTTTCAGAGCCGGACGTTTGTGAACTGGTTGAAGAGCACATGCATGAGAAACTAGCCTGAAAAACCTATTAAGAACGAACCCATCTCAAGTGAGCAGAACGTTGGTGTTAAAAGAATCTTAATTACACCTTGACAAGCTCTTAATCAAATGGTATAATTTAATAACACAGGCCTACCAAGCATTGAACTCCCTGTAAAAGAAATAAGTTACATTAGTTATACAAAGATCTGCAAATAAACATTATCTACAGAACGGCTGCTATATCTACTCAAAACAGCATTCGGAAAATGAGGTATGTGCAATCAAAATGCAGCCTTGGGAAGAGAAATATTTGAAATCCCATTTATAAAAAGTTCCAAGGTTATGATAAAAATGGTCTCAAACTGTTTTTTTTTTCTCTTGTTTCCTTGCAGCTCTCAATGAAAGGATCTGTGTGTATAAGCGATTTTCTCTTTAACAGACGTAATGACTTCTAACAATCAACGCCTCCTTGCGTGGCCTTGAAAAATGACGTTACACTGCAGGGCACGGCACGGGGCTTCAATACAGGCGCCGAACAAAACAGCAGTTCAACCTGTTCAACCCTGACTTCCTCAATTACATCAGAACCATCATACAATTGTTAGCCTTGCTGATTCAGAGATGTCACATGGCGCACACAGATGTCAGCTTCAAGAAACTGTTCAGAGGGCTTTTTGATTGGTCCGTGTTATACACAACGAAAATATTTACTCTGACCAGAAAACTGCATTGACAACCCGCACAAAACCCCCCCACATTTTTTGTTTTTATTTGTGTGGCTGTGCGTAAACCTGTTCCAGAATCAGTATTGCACCAATTAGACTGCCTGTGATCATTTACGTAGAATATACATATGCTGTATATTGCTAATAGACTCTGCAACAAAGTTATTTAGATGCTCAACTCAAAGAAATGGGGCATTTTTTTACTCCTATAGCCCTTGGATAGGACATCCTTATAACTTTAATGCAGTTCAGAGTGTGTTTGTTTCTGCTGAGATATCTAGACAAGCAGATGATCAGAAAACACCTCGGTATTCCTCAGCCACAATTACAGCTACCAAAATATTCAGTGACTTCTGTAAAGGAGACTGCAGCAGAGCTCCTGCAGAGAACTAACACGCTAGCTCGCTCACTCTCTCCTTTCTGGTGCTCAATATCACTGTTCTTCACAGGAGACATGGAATACTACAGGAACGGAAACGAGAGGTTTTGTATCCAAGTTACTAGTAGTTGCCAAAAGTAACGCTGCTCCAGTAAAAGACTAATATTTAAAGAAACAATACCAGTCCGCATTGGAAGTGCAGAGAAACCGGTCTATTATTTTAAATATAGACTGTTATGTGGTTGCATTTATTTGATCAAAAGTATAGTGAAATATTATTACAATTTAAAATAACTTCTATTTTGAAACATTTTAAAATGTAATTCCAGTGATGGCAAACCAATATTTTCTGCGGCCATTACTCCACTCTTTAGCGTGAGATGATCCTTCAGAAATCATTCTAAAATGCCAATTTGGTTTCTTAGGGTGTATTCACACCAGGAAAGTCCGATAGTTCACTTGCTCTGGTCCGGACCAAATAATTTTTATTTTTTTGGTACGGTTCGCTTTCACACTGCTCTTTTTGCAAGTGAACCAAAATGTGTAAACAAAACCACACGTGTGCTAAGGTCGTCCATTCATTGGAGAAGGATTCTCAAGTAGGGAAATCAGGAAGTGCAAAAAAGGCTCAGCATGGAGATATTTCGTACTGCCATATTTGTTATTTTACTAATTTTGTGTTATATTCTGTACAAACGCAATATGAAGAAACTGCGCAGAAGACGGATAAGGTATAAAGTTTTGATTCATAGAGAGGGGCTATGTTCACACATTCAAATAATGAGATTCTTATTGTATATAGGCTACTGCTAACAAGTGCTGTCAATGTTAACGCTTGCGATTTAAGTTTGTCCAGTTTAACGCAGCGTCATCCTTGTAACTATTATATGAACTGCAAAAGCTTTTTTTTGCATCTATGCGCGATTAGACTAAAGAGAACGCGCTGTATGTGAATGTCCTGATGCACACACTCATTCATTCATTCCATTCCAATGACGCACACACACGACGTGCAGAAAGACGCGCAACAGTATCGTGTGGCCAGACAGCGCGCGCCGGAATGGAATTCTCTTTCGCACTTGAACAACAATAACACAAACCATTATGCCCAAATCTCCGACTACGGAAGCCTTTTAACTCAAAGGCGCAGTGCTTTCTTGCAATTGGGTCGGTTCATGTTCACACTGTAAACGAACCGTACCAGAGTTCGTTTGGAAGCGTACCGAGACCACCTCTTCAGCTGGGTCTCGGTTCGGTTGTTTGGTCCGCACCAGAGTTCGATTGCTGCATTCACACCTGCCCAAAAGGTCCGCACCAAGGGGGGAAACGAACTAGAGTTCGATTCAATCGAACCAAACAAGGCAGGTGTGAATACACCCTTATTTTCAATGTTAAAAACAGCTGTGCTATTTTTTTATATACACAGTATATATTAACACAGTTGTGTTAATATTTTTGTGGAAATAGTGATTTTTTTTAAGGATTCCTAAACGCCATGGGATAAGCCAAACGCCATTGCTCCAATTAATTTTTTTTATATTTATATTTAACTTAGAAGAGTGGAAATCCAAAAGCAAGTCGGATGTTGCTGGTTCTGAGAATTCATTACATTTCATTGTTATTGGGTTCAAAAAACCACCATTGCAAGCTTGTGTTAGTCCATTCAAAGCTTCGGTTTATGAGAAAATGAGAAGTGAATGGTAATTATTTTGATATAACTCAGCTATCTGTTGTAACTTTTATATTGAATCCATTGAGAAGCTGTAGAAAACCATGCACAAATCGCTGTCACTCTCTTGCCCAAAGATGGAGAGGTTTAATAAGATTTTCTGAAAGGCTAAACACAGCCTAT